TTTTTTGCAGTGTTCAAGAAAAACAACAACAAAATATGACTTATTTAGATTTCTATTGTTTGCAGTGTAATTGTTTTCATATTGAAAGTACTTTCAGAAGTTAGAATTCTGAATATGACCGGACTTTTCCTTTAAATTTAACTAGTAAATCTGTAGTTCTAAGGTCAAAGTTTAACTTAAAGTGTTTTTAAGTTAATTGTCTGGTTTCCTGTGGTTTGTCTTCCAGCTTTGAGTTCTGCACAGACTGAGCTGCTGGAGCTGCGGTGTAAATACGACCAGGAGATGGCAAACAAGTAAGAGTCTCTCATGTTTGAAGATTTTTCCTGAAGCCCCCTCCCCTCCCCGGTCTTTAATGCAGCCTTTCCAGACAGGCCTCGGCTGCATAAAGTCCAGTGTAAAGCCGTGGAACGTCACAGTAGAAGCTGAGAGCGACTCGGTCGCTAATGCAGGTCGATAAGAAAGGTCTGCGTTCGCCTGCTCTGGCAGCTGGGCCTTGACAGCCCTCAAGAAGAATTGCTCCATTTAAAGATTGCTTCAGAAAACACTCTACCTTGTCCTGGTCTTTGAGCGCAATGTATCCAGCGCACGCCTGAAATGAATCTGAGCTGGTATGAAGGATGTCGATAGACATTCAAAGTAAACACTCCTTTGTTTGGGTTGTGCTCCAGAGCACAGTCGGCCGCTGCTAATGGATTTTCTCCCAGGCTTAATCCATGGTGCAATTGAACTGATGTTTCTAGAGCCGCCGCCATCTATTTTCTGGGACTGAACACATTTTAAGGTCTGCGCAGAGAAGGAGCCTGAGAGAGTGTTTCTGTAATGTGGTTTGTCACACGTGGCGATGGTGGAGCGCGCTGATCACTTTCCTACAGGCTGAAGGCAGCAGCCTGACCCCTCGGCTCCTTCATTCGCTCATTTATGACGCAGAGTTTCCGAGCAGACGCCTATTATTCCTGATGACAGCTCCCTCTGTGCTGATGAGGACGACTATTTGTCTCCTTTATCTTGAGTAACTCTGACTCCTTTAGGCCTGTCAGTGTCCCCCTGTCAGTTAGACCTGTGAGATTAATCTGATTTGTGCTCCATGTTTGGTTTCTGAATGATGTTGCTTTGTAGAATAGATGTTCTCCATTCATCCCAGTCAAGCTTGCAAAGGTTTAGATACATTGAGCAGTCAAATATAGATATTTTTGAGGAGTCGTACATGTATCAATTGCTGAAGTCATAAGAGAGAACAAAGATACAGAGGAAATATTGAACAGAGGAGGATTTTCCTGTTCATCCCTTCTTTATTTGAGGAGGTTGTTTCAGGGGGGAAGAGAACCTGCGGGATGGAGGGTCCTGACGACCGCTGTAATTCCCTCTCAAGTCGAAAATCAGGAAACCAAGTCGTTCTTTTAGTTACTGGCTTTGATCACACAAGAAGCATGATAGTGTGTTGTGAGAACTGTTAAAACATACAGAAAGAAAAGCAAACAAAACTAACAGAAATTCAACAGAAATTCTTCACGTTACATCCTAACGGTCAAACAAAGTAAACAGTAAATTAAACTAAAATGTACCTCATTGGCAGTGATGGGACTAACGGCGTTACCTTGTTTTAGTAACGAGTAATCTAACTATTTACTTTGACTGTAACTATAACGCAGTTACCATTGCAAACACCCCGTTACTGCATGTTACTCAGGTCACACAATTAAACTTTTTTCATGATAGGACTCGTGCGCGCCTTGTCATGAGAGAGGGGAGGATGAGAATGGGTGATGTATAGTGAGATTCCGTCTGTCAGTTGGGTAGGTGGGTGTTTCTGCTGGCAGGTGTTAACGTACAGCACACACAGAGAGATGGAGAGTGAGGAGGACTCCTGCAGCAAAACAGGGTTTTCCAGATGGAAATACCGGTGTTACGTCGAGCTGCGTTTCCCCATCAGATATGGTTTCCCCTATAGCTCTGCACAGCGCAGGCGACACGAGTCACCGCGCAAGTGACAGGAAACGCGCATGCTAGCTAAAGGCGCGTAACAGTCGCCCTGTGCTCGCGCCACAGGAGAACTATGGAGAGCGTGAACGATCAAATGA